ATCTATATAATTAAGATCCAAACATATTTATTTAATTAAAATTTTAATCTGGGTTCAAAGATATGACTAAATGAAATCTATGAACTGAATCTTCACGTATGTCACTAATACATTTAACTAGTAAATGAAATGAAAAGATGCTTATACTTAGTCATATTTCACCATCTAAGACTTTGCAAAGGGTCTGATACAGCTAAAAGTTTCGAATTACTGCATTCTAAACATTGTGTGGGGCCTGGCACACCCAGACAAGGGGCTTTGGCCATGCTCCCTCCACCTGCACTGATGCCCTCCTCACCATTCCTGCCAGGGTCATAGCTTTGTGCAATGGGATGGTGGTTTATCACAAGATCTGCTCTTGGGCCAAAGCAAACAACTGTGACCCACTTCCTCGAGCTCTTGGCTACCGTGTGGATGTGTAGCACTCTTCTGAAACACATGATGGCAAAGAAATTACCCAGGCAGGCTCCAGAGGTTTCTAAATTGTAATATTTAATTCATGAGGCCAGAGCTGCCATAACCTAGGTGACACAGCAGCAGGACCAGCCCAGCAGGAATTCGGGGTCAGATCAACAAGGGCTCCCCAGGGGAGGAAAACAGTCCTGGTACACATTTACTTACTAATCCAGTCCTTCCACTGGGTTCCTCAAGGGCACAGAGACTCTATTAGCTCTTGACCTTTCACCTTCCAGAGGCAGACCTCCCCTTCTTTTCCTCTGCTTCATGGCAAACCCTCTTAGGGGATCCACAAAATCCAGGCCTCCCAGGTGTACTCTGCTAATCCCATTACCTGATACATGATGGAAGATGGTGGGGGCTCGATGCATGGCTGCTGGTCCGGGAGGGGCAGCTCCTCCAGCAAGTCCACATTGGACAGAGCATCTTCCAAGGTGACGTGGGTGGTCATGGTTGCGGTGTCTGTCTTCCACACTGATGGAGAGGAAGAGAAGGACAAAGGAAAATTGCAGGGACCTCCAGACATTTCCTTTAGCCTCAGCCTGTCCAAGCTCTTTGTGGAAGGTTGAGAGGGTTAAGAGTCACCAAGGCCACTTCCACGTGCCACTTTTTCATATCTGCCTTTTACCTATACCTTTAAGATTTGAGGATCAGGTTTGACAAGATGGCTCAGTGGGTAAAGGCCTTGCTGTGCAAGCCTGGCCACCTGAGTTCAATCCCCAGAATGCATGCCAAGGTGGAAGGAGAGAACTGACTCCACAAATTGTCCTGTGACCTCCACATGGCCACCTCTGCATATGTCCCCTGCCCATTGTATGCACACACGATAATAAACAAACAAATAAATAAAATATGAAGATTTCTTGGCTGAGCCTCACTACATCCCTCTTCCACAGCGTGGAAAGTTAGATTCTGCTTACACAGGTGGTAAAGAAATGAGGCTGTGAGACATTTATGTGACACCCACACGATCTAATGAGGAAGGGCAAAGGACTTAGATTAATGCTGCACACAAGGACACAGGCCACAGTTCTTCACCTTCTGTTCTTCAGAAGGGCATTTATCGGTTTCACTATTAGATTATGGGGCAACACAAACAGTCTTGCTTGAAAAACTAGGATGATTGAAGAGACACAGGTATAGGTGTTAAGGGCTAAGTAAGTCGGAATTAAAACAACAGAACTTCGGTGGACCAGCCTTATTTACAGCAATGGAAAAGCTTCCATGCCTCCCTTCTGGGGATCTTTTAAGAGCCACACCAAAGCAATCAGCCCTCAATGAATGTTTCTGTGTCTTGGACCCGGGCAGAGTGCAGCTGCTTGGATAACTTTGCCAAGCAGGGAAGCCGAAAGCATCTGAGCAGGGTAGTTAACCAACTCAAGCTAATTGCTATTTTAAGAATATAGTTAGTTCCCTGCAAACACAAGACTCATCACCCACCCTCAAATACATGTGAAACACTGATTCAAAACTGATAATATATGGCTTAGGCTATAAATCAAGTTTCCGCTTGTTTCCTCCAAAAATCATATTCTTAAAAAGGCCTGATGATACATGTCTGTAATCCCTAGCACTCAGGAGGCTGAGGCAGGAGGATCATGAGTTTGAGGTCAGTCTGGGTTGTATAGCAAGTTGTAGTCCTGCCAGGGATACATATTGAGATCTATCTCAAACTGTAAGCCCCTAAACAAAACAAAACAAACAAAAAATACCACCAACGAAACGATATGTCAGAACTTATAATGATTACAGAGCAATAAAATGAGAAATCACTGATGCAAATAATAACCAAAAATACGTTCCTTTGAAAACTCATAAAGCACACAAAGTTATTCATAGGTATGGGGAAATTCAAATAGAAATGGTGACATTTGAAACTGAAAGAGAAAACATGAATAAATGTCTTAAATACATCTAGTCAAAGACGGCAAAAGTTGAACTTGGGGCCAGAGAGATGGCTCAGTGGTTAAGAGTGTTTGCTGTTGCTGGACATCGGGGCACAGGGGCATGAGGGCATGGGGGCATGTGGGCACGGGGGCACACACCTTTAATCCCAGCACTCGAAACTGATAATGTATGACTTGGGCTATAAATAGAGTTCCCACAAGTTTCCTCCAAAATTATATTCTAAACCAGGCCTGATGATACATGTCCCAGCACTCAGGAAGCAGAGGCAGGAAGATCTCTATGATCTACATAGTGAGTCCAGGCCAGCTGGGGCTACAGGGAGACCATGTCTCAAAAAACAAACAAATAAATAAAGTGCTCGCTGCCCTTCCAGAGGCTCTCATATCAGATCCTAGCACCCATGTTAGGTGGCTCACAGCTGGTCTGCTGCTCCAGCTCCAGGGGACACGATACCCTCTTCTAGCTTCCACAGGCACCTGCAGTAACAAATACATTCACATACATACATACATACATACGCATAAATAAATCTTTAAAAAAAATTAGCTCCATGAGCCCAATGTTCTACTTGAAAACTTAGATTAAAAAAACCAGCCCAAAGAAATAGGAATAGAGGAGCTGATGATTCCAAAGGCAGGAACAGTGCTGGGTGGGAAGGGCCAAATAAACAGCAGAGATGAGCAGCAATACTAAGCTGAATCTTGCAAAAGATAACAATAATAAAGCCAAGGCTTGACCACATGAGTGAGGAGGACGGAGAAGGAAGGCTGCTGTGCTCGCCTAACCCCTAGCAGGGCAGTGTGGGTCAGGTTAAGGTCAGCAATTTCTTCAGCTAATGTCAGTGACTGTGCCTGTTGTTAGGGGAAATAGTGCCTGATGTCAGGGCACGTAAGGACATTCACTATGCAAAGACGGGGCTGCAAGGAGCAAAGAGAGCTGGAGAGAATACCCAAGCTCACATGGTCCCTCAATTAGTATTTCCTTCAGGACCAAGATTGGAAGGGCAGATAGAGGCTGAGCCTTTACTGCTGCTGGGCAACTGACTAGAACTAATGCTTCATTGAATTCTCAAATATACCTTCTGGCATGTGCTATGTTAATGGCACAGCCAGAGTCCAGCGAGGATACCTGGAACTGAGAAGTATGCAGCCCCCATCCCCCTGCCTTCTGCAGAGGCCTGGTCTCCAGGGTGGTGTCAAGTCCTCTGTGTATCTTCACTTCTTCCTCTCATCTCATTTTCCCCCGAATTCTAAGAGCAGCAGTGTTCAGCTCTATAACAGCACCGCTAAGTGCAGCAGGGCCCATCCACAACAGGGCCCTTTCCTTCTTATGGTGCTATTTTTAAAATTATTTTTTTATGTGTATAAATGTTTTGCCTGCATGCATGTAAGTGTACCCATGTCATGCAATACCCATGGAAGCCAGAAGAGGGTGTTGGATCCCCTGAAACTGGAGTTATGGATGCCTTGTTAGCTGCCATGTGGGTGCTGGGACTGAACTCAGGTCCTCTGGAAGAGCAGCCAGTGGTCTTAATTGTTGAGCCATCTCTCCAGCCCCTTACATTATAATTTTTAAAAGATATATTTTTAAAATTATGTGTATACATGTATGTTTGTGTGTGGGTATGTGCTCCTGAGTGCAAGTGCCAATGGAAGCCAGAAGAGGTGTCGGATCTCCTGGAGCTGGAGTTATAGGCTGCTGTGGGCCTCTAGATGTGGGTGCTGGGAACCAAACTCAGGTCCTTTGCAAGAGAAGCATGTGCTCTCATCTGCTGAGCCATCTCTCCAGTTCTCTAATAATTAAGTCCATTTGAAGGAGGGGGCAATGATTTTATAGGACATAGTAATCTACTACTACAAAGCCCAATAATTCTCTTTATTATGTCGAATGATAACAGTAACCTAATAGTAATAACTCTGACATTGCCTTGGCCCTTACTTGGTGCCAGGCACTGCTAGCTAGCATTCGACTGTTTTCATATTACACCTGCCCTATGCCATTGGGGCCCCTGTCATGGATGGAGTCACTTTGTTAGTGGCTGTCAGCACGCTTGTGAAAAGAATCACATACATAGCTTCCATCAATACAATGCCTGTGCTTTGTCCTTAAGATCAATACTACTTTTTAAAAAAGCATCCTGTTTCATTTGCAGTAAGAAATCCAGATTGCAATTGTATGGGGATATCACTTCTCACTGATGAAACTTTCAAGTCCACCATGTCATTGGCTAGTCTGAGAAACAGGCCCTATCTAATGCCTGTGGGGGTATAAAATAGCATTAGCCCTATGAAAGGAAATGTCAGTATTAAACAGACTTCTACAAGTACTTTGCTCTTTGACCAGAAATCCAACTTCTAGGAATCTTATCCCAAAGGTACATGGACAAAAATGCAAAGATTAATGTACAAAGCTATTTATGGCAGTGCTACACACAATTATATAAACTGGAAAACGCAACCATCCATCATCCCAGGACTGCTGGAGCCCTCTACAGTGAAGCCCAGGGCAGCAGTAAGACAGAGCAAGGCGAGCTCCACAATGTGTGTGTGCACCACATGTTCTCACTTATCCCAGAGGAGGATGCATACACACACAGGCACAGCTATTAAAACACGAAGGCAAGGACATGCTATATAAAGATTGATTAACTCTGGAGAAGGTGGAAAAAGAAGGATTAGGTCTCTGGGGGTGCGGGGGGGGTAAGAAAACAGCACAGAATTCCTCAAATATACCTTGCTTTGTAGAGCTGACTTCAAAATCACAAAAATAGTTGGCATTACTATAAAATAAGATTTAAAATCAAAATGCAACCCCTAAAAAGAATGAATGTACATGTGAGCAAGTTGTCGGTACAACCAGGCAGAAAGGAACTATTCCAAGTGACTCTATAATTCATCAATTTATTAATTTTATTTTTTGTGTTTATGTATGTGTGTGGTGCATGTACACATGTGTGTGCAGGTGTGTGTAAAGGCCAAAGGAGGATGTTGTGTGTCCTGCTCTGTCACTGTCCTTATTCCCTTGAGATACGGTCTCTCACTGAACCTGGAGCCAGGCTGGCAGCCAGCAAGCCCCAGCCATCCTCCTGGTCCTGCTGCCCACAGCACTGGGGTTACAGGAATGTGCTGCCATGTTATCCTTTTACTGAGTTCAATATTGTATAATTGTATTAATTCAACTGTGAACCTAAAAATTTACAGCCCCTTTTGTTATTTTGTCTTTTTTTTTTTTTTTTAATACAGTCACTTTTTGAAAGAGATGTATCTTTGCTCTGGAAATTGTTACTGACTATGTTAAAGCTGTAATGAAATGCTTCTTCTAATCATGTGGTTTTTAAATTTTAAAAAATTACTTCATGTTAATTAGAGGTGATAAAAATTACCACTGAAATCTACCCGATGACTTTATATCCATACTCAGGTGCCAAGGATCCAAGTGTAACTGACTGTGACTAGTAATAATCAGATACATAGAGATCAGAGACATGCGCAAACATCTAAGTGTTAGTAGCATTAAAAATGAGTCTTTCTGTAGGAAACAGAAATATTCTAAAATGAAATGGAGCT